AGGCTCGGCACTGTCAGACGCAGTCCCTCCAGGCAGAGTAGCTCAAGGCTCCTGACCCGCAGACTCAGTACAAGCAGGCGTTGGGCCCTCAGACTCCACACCCCCAGGCTCAGCACCCCTAAGCACCGCACTCTCAAGCTCCGCACCCCCAGGCTCAGCACCCCCAAACTCCGCACCCTCACGCTCCACACCCCCAGGCTCAGCACCTCCAGGCACCTCACACTCACGCTCCGCACCCCCAGGCTCAGTACCCCCAGGCTCCGCACCCTCAGGCTCCGCACTCCCAAGCTCAGTACCCCAAAGCTGCGCACCCCTAGGCTCCGCACCCCCAGGACCAGCACGACCTCCAGCAGGACCAGAGTCACCAGTGACCTCAACAGGCGCAGGCACGGGAGGGTCTACCTGAGAAACACCTGAAGGGGCAGGACCTGGCGCGAGAAGAGGGTCTACCTGAGGAGGACCTGGAGTGAGGAAGAGCGGCGGGGGGGCGCGAGGGGAGGTACGGTAGGGAAAGAGACGGTAGAAGGGAACGGACTCGTCAAAGGTGACGTCCTGAGACGAAAAGACACGCCGCGAGGAGGGGTCGTAGAACTGCCAACCAGGCGCGTCAGGAGGGAAACCAAGGAAGACACAGGGAACGGCGCGAGCGGAGAGCTTGTCCGCGGTGGTATCGCGGACAAAGGCACGAGCACCCCAGACCCGGAAACGCGACGCATCGCCAACCTTCCCCGTCCACAGCAGAGTGGGCGAGGTCTCCGGCAAGGAGACACGGGGCCAAAGGTTGAGCTGATGCGCAGCGTACCGGACCGCAAACGGCCACAGAAAATGGGGGGCAGCCGCATGGATCATGGAGGTACGAGCGACCTCCATGACTAAGCCAATGCGGCGCTCAGCAACCCCATTTTGCTGCGGAGAGGCCGGAAGCGTGAACGACTGGGTGATGCCGTGCTCCGCACAGAAGGCTCTCAGGAGGTCGGAGGAGAACTCACCACCTCTGTCAGAGTGCAGACGCAAGACAGGAAAGTCCGACTAGAACCGCTCGCGGAGCTGGAGACGAGCAGCGCGGATCCAGGGGATCAAAACAGCAGGGACGTCCCCCTTGCTGCGCAAGGGGAAGACCGTGGTGTAGCGCGTGTAGTCGTCAACTACCAGCAGGAAGTACCGCTCGCGGCCCTGCCCCTGGACGCGGGCCGGGCCCCACACGTCCAGGTGGAGAGTCTGCAGTGGAGCCTCTGTGGGAGGGAACGAGGAGGAGTGAGGAGCGGCGCGCTGCCGCCCCTCGACACAGGGAATGCAAGGAGGCGCAGGCGAGGGAGGGAGGGCAGGGAGAGACCTGGGAAGGCCAGAGACCAGTAGGCGAGAGTGCATGCTACGAAGGCGAGGCAGGGAGGGGTGACCAAGGCGGTGGTGCCAAAGGAGAGTGTCGTGGGACAGGCGGCGGCACTCACACTGGGTGGCTACCTGAGCAGACGCGTACAGCTGTGGTGACAAAGGAGTGGAACGTGAAACAGTGGTATGTGTGTAAAGACTGGACCCCGGCTCACGGGTGAACGTGGCCAGGTGGCGGCCAGTCCGAGAGCAGGTGCAGATCGCCACACGCTGTCCTCCAGGAGTCCAGGTGTCAACCCAGTGATCCTGAAGAACAGCGTTGCTCACCAAGTTCGTAGAGAACGAGGGAACATGGAGACCTGACAGCTCACCGGACGGGACCGCCGGGCACGGAAGCACAGTCGAGGCTCGTGCCAGCACTGGGCCCCCAGAGGGGTCAGCCAGTGAGACAGGAACAGGTGCAGGGAGGGGAGTGACGGTGGTGCTATCACGAAAGAAACAGCGCGAAGCACCAGAGTCAAGTGTAAACGTGTGTAAGGCCTGGGTGGGCACAGTACCAGAGAGGGCAGACTCACTAGCACCTAGGGCTGCAGTCGCTATACCTGGGTCAGGCGGCACACACAAGTAACAGTCACCCTCAGCACTAACAGTCAATGCATACATGGCAGCAAGGATTGCATCATAATCAAGATCATAGACAGGTACATCACGCCTAGCCAGATCTGCCCAGTTGGGGAACTCAGTGGCATCAGGGAACTTGGCGCGCCAGGCGTCGCTGAGGCGCGCAAAGCAACGGTACTCAGTGTGGAATCCGTTGCACGTGCGACCCTTGCGAGGGCCAGAACGAATGACATAGGGGCAACGACCAGAACCCCCAGGCGCCCCACGTCCAGCATACCAGTCATGAAGCCGTTGCGAAGAGAGGGTTTGGCGCTGCGACGGCTGCTGCTGCTGCTGCGGCTGCTGCTGCTGCTGACCAGTCCCACCGCCCCCACCACCTCCACCACCACTACCTCCTCCTCCCCCCTTACCGCTGCTGCCGCCACCACCACTCCCGGCCCCACTGCCACCCCACCCACCACCGCCACTCCCGCGACCACCTCCACCCCCCCCACCACCCCCGCCGCCTCCACCACCGCTCCCTCCACCCCCGCCTCCACCACCCTTGCCACCTTTGCCGCCCCTGCCACCGCCTCGCTTCCCACTAGGGGCGGAGGCTGCTGCGACCTGCTCAGCGCCAGAGAGGTCAACGGCAGTAGCAGCTGAGGTGTAGGAGGGGGTAAGGGGGGAGGGGTAGCAACCCTCAAAGAGGGGAGTGCGGGGAGTACCTCTAGCGGCGCCGACAGCTAGGATATTCTTCTCTGCTGCAAGAAGCTGCTGCTCGAAGTCGGCTAGAGTGATCTCGGTGGGATCCATGGCGAGGAAATGGTCCCTGACTACGCTAAGGGTGTCAGGGAGGCGGGTGACGAGGAGATAGAGGGTCCAGTAGAGCGGAGGAGGGTTGGCGGCAAGGAACTCGGCCTTAAGAGCGGCTCTAAAGCGGACGTCACTAGCGCGTAGGTGAGAGATGAGGTCCGCAGCAGTGGGAAAGGAGGACAAGTCGGGGAACAGGTAGGGTAGGATAAGTCGTCCTACAGCGGCAGTAGCTGGGGAGGAGTAGCGCGCAACAACAGCATCGTACAGTGCCTTAGCCGTCTTGTGCTGACTAAAATGCGCGCGCTCAGTGATCGGCAGGTGGTTGCGGATAGCGAGGCGTGCAGCAGCATCGCGAGTCTGCCACTGTGAGCGGTCAAGAGCAGGAGCACTGTCAGCAGGAGCAGCGGCAGTGCCAGTAGCGTGATCGTAAAGAGAAACGCCATCTTTGGCATCGGTCATAAGGAATAGCTGCAAGTCGTCGAGCCAGGTGGAGAATTCTACGAGGCGACCGTCAGGCTCAAAGGCAAGGACGTTCAACGTTGTAGGCAGGCAGGCAAGTGCAGGGTAGGCAGGCAGGCGCTAGACAGGCAGGCAGGCGCGAGGCAGGCAGGCAGGCATCAGGCAGGCAGGCAGGCGCGAAAGACAGGCCGGGGGCAGCGGTGCACGGGCTGTGCGGGCTAAGGGTGGGGCCGTGTGGACGGCGGAACGGGCGGCACGGGCTGCTCGGGCAGTGACTTGGGCCGGGCACGGGCGGGCGGGGCTCAGGGCGGGCTGCGCGAGCTGCGCGGGCGGTGGGATGGGCCGTGCGCGGGCAGGCGTGGCTCAGGGCGGGCTGCGCGTGCCGTGTGGGCAGCGGGACGGGCTGCGCGCGGGCGGAAACGCGTGCGCGGGGCTGCGAGGCAGCAGGGCGGGCGACGCGCGGGGCTGCGGGGCCTCGCGACGGGCCAGGGTAGGGCTCGCGCGGGGCCGCACGGCAGGGCGACGGGCGGCGCGCGGGTCTGCAGTGCAGCGCGACGGGCCAGGGCAGTAAGCGCGCGGGGCTGCAGGGCAAAGCAACGAGCGGCGCGCGGGGCTGCAGGGCAGCGCGATTCGAAGGCAGTCAGGCTAGGCAGGCGTAGGGTAGCGTGGTAACCGTAGGCAGTAGTTGGTGGGCCCTAAAAAAAATCGATCCTGAGGTCCTAGGGACCTCCTGCTCTGATACCATGTGAAAAGTCTAGAGACTGGAATGAAAAACTAAGGAAGAGTTCGGGTATAAATGTGAAACCCTAATGGTGTTGTACCCCATATTGGCTACCCCAGTACAGCCTACATCCACATATCACACATATATTTTGACATTGGGGCGCGCGACGGGCAGTAAACCGACGCGCGCCCGGGGTGCGTGACGGGCAGCAGAGTGGCGCATTTAGCGGAAACTAACGGTGGGCCCAAAAGGGAGAAGGCTCTAGGAACGAGCCTGATTTGAGACCATGTCAAGAAACTGAACGAGAATGATAGCAGAAGGAAGAGGGTTGCACTAGCAGGCATGGGGAGTACATAAAAGGAAACCCTAAAAGGGTTGTACTCTCTGTTGAGTACCCCACTACAGCCTACACAGCAATATGCATTTTGACAATGAGCGAGAGTTAGATCACGAAAGCCGCGGTGGTAACGGTAACGAACTGTAGGAGATGTGATTGAGGTTGGGACTGAGGTCGGGAAATGTCGAAGCGGAGGTCAGGAGCGCGGGTTACTAGCCGAGCCGTGCGGTCGGGTTGCGACCGGTGTAGTGGCGGGAATGTGGTCGAGGCGAGTGTCGCGAGTGGTAACGGTGCACAGTGTGGCGGGAACAGTACTGTACGCGCTTAAGGAGAGGTGCAAAGTAAGGAAAAGGAATTTTCATTACAATCAGTCTGGTTGATCGTACTGCTGAACAGACACTTTGATTTGGAGGAGATTATACCGGTAACACGTTTTCAACGTTGTGTGTAATGAATATATAATAAGTCTGTAGATATTATAAGGTCTAGGAAGATAGGTGAAGAATTTGCAAATATTAGTTTCAGCTTGTATGGAAACTCTGATAATAACAACGAACTATATTTTCGGCAAAGTGTAGCTGCCGACAAAGAACCGAGTCGCTCCTGGTTCTCCCCTCCCGAGCCGCTCAATTATTGGGGCAATTCAACCGTGTGTTTCGGCAGGACATCCCAGCATTATTGCTGCTTTCCACCCGCTGTGCTTAGCCTTCTCAAAATTATTGCTACACTGGAGTCATGTTGCAAGTCGTTGAAGCGCCGCGGAAGGGGATTTATGCTTGGCCTTCTGATCTTGGCAAACTAGCAGACGAGCAAAATTTAGATGTGCGATCTGCCGCAGCAAGGAACAATAATTCACGCTTCGCTTTCCTACCGTCTGATTCGTCCACGGCTTCTCTGGGCGCCTCAAGGACGAATCCGTTCAGAGATAGCCCATCCAGATATTTAGTAACCATGGCGCTAGAGGGTTCTCGTCCCTACTATGCGTTGAAACATGGTGTCGCCCTCGAAACGCGCGGGGAAAGACTCTCAAATAGATCCGTGATGCGTGCGCAGCGCGTTTCAGAGCAGCGTTTTGGCGCGTCCACTGCATGGTTGCAAGAAGAGGCTCAAGAGTCGTGCGGCTCGGGAAATTGCGATGTGGCGCGAAGCTGCGCTGACGGCGGGTGGGACGGCGACGAGGGGGAGAGCATGGGCGACAGCGTGGCGTGTGGCGGAAAGAGCGTCAGCGGCCGCCACGTGGCTGACCACGTGGTCTTCCGTAGAATCGACTCTGAGCACAGTGATGCGCCCTCGTTTCTCCGACTCCCACCATTGGCCGAACGGATCGCGACCGCTCCGAGTTTCGGTCCGCGGCAATCGGGAGAACCGCGTCCGCACCGCGCAGCGACGTGGTCTTCGAGTGCGCCCCACTCGAGAAATGAAACCGACGGCGGAGATGAGGGGCATGGTTGGCACTTGCTAATCAACGGCGACAGTGAGGCCAAACTGTCGCCAGGCGCGGGAGGATGCGACAAGCCGTTCGTCGTCGCTGCGGACTGTGCGAAGTCAACGACGCCCACCGCAGCCGTCCCTCATCTCTCGGAGAGCGACGGTGGCGACGCGACGCCAGGCACCGCGACTTACGGAAACTCCGGTTCGCGCCGCCCGCCTGACACGTGGCACGACAAGCACCTGCTATGGTCTCCCTTCGGCGACTCCTTGCTCATGCCGGGCGCTTCGCCGAGCCTGTCGCCGAGACTGTCGCCGAGTCTGTCGCCAAGACTGTCGCTGGCGGCGTTGGATTCCGTCGTTTTGGGGGACGAGCTGTGGCGGAGCATCGAGCGTCTCGACGGGCGAAGCGACGACGAAGAGGGATGCGGAGACGAGGGGCGCGGCGCGCAGGAGAGGTGCGGCGCGGAGGAGGGGTGCGACTCCGGCAATGACGGCGCGACGCCGTGGGACGACGTGGTGAAGGACCTCTTTCCTGAGCTGCACGTAGCCGCCCATGATGCCGCCCATGATGCCGCCTCGCCACCGCTCCCGCCGCCGGCCACTTCGGATATCGTGCTGCAGGTCCCGGCTATTTCGTCTCCCCCTGCCCCCCCCTCCCCTCGCTCCGCCTCCCCCTCCCTCTTCGGCTCTCTCCCCGCCGCTAGCATCAGGCCGTCCCCCTCCGCCTGCGCGCGAGCGGATTCCCCGCCACTGGATGCCGCGCAGCTGCCTTCTGCTGGCAGAAAGCCCATTGGCGCCGCGACGAGGCTCGTGCGCGGGGCGCCGCATACTTGGGGGACGGCTCCGCCGCTCCTCTGCGCGCGGGCGCCTGACGGCCACGACCGCCGCGCTTGCGCACTGCTCGCGCTGCCTTCTGCGTCTGCACGCATCCCGCCTCCGCCAGGCGCGCAGAAACGGCGGGCGGACGAGCTGGGAAAGGGCGAGGGCGCGCGGACAGGGCTCGTCGACACGCCCCATGCCTCGAGAAGCAGCGAGAACGGTGGCGCGACCGGCGCTCCGATATCACGCAGCGCCGCTCGTGGTGGTGCTCATTGGCGCGGTCCCGCGCAAACAGGAGGCGCGCGTGTGAGGCCTGGCCCGCCCTCGCCCCTCCTTCTCCCACCCCTCGCTCTTCCGCCCTCCTCTCCCCCAGTCCTCACAGCCCCTTCCCCCACCCTTTCAGCGCTCACGCTCCCTTCCCCCCTCGCGCTCCCCACGCCATCCACGCCCTTCCCGCCTGACTGCGCGCCCAATACCGCCACTGCACCTCCCCGTCAACCCTCACACGCGCATCTTCCCGCCAACCCCTCACCCGCCCGCTGCCCTGCCACCACCCCGTCCCGCCCTTGGCGCAATCACGGGGCGGCTGAGAGGCCAGGTGGTGGGGATTTTGGGGGAACGGCCGTGGGGGGAGGAGCAGCTGTGGGGCCAGGAGCTGCAGTGACAGGGAGAGCGGCAGTGGGCATCCGGAAAATCGTGGGCGCACACACAGAGGCGCTGGGATTGAGAGGCAGGGGCAAGGCAGACGCACCAGTGCCTATGGAGATGACGGCAGGGGTAGCAGCGGTGGTGACGCCAGCAGCATCAGCAGCATTGGTGGGTGCGGCTAGCACACGCACAACTCCAGATGCCACAGCGATGGCAGCAGCAGGAGAGATAGCAACGGAAAGAGAGGCAGCAGCAGCAGGAGCAGCAACGACCAAGGCTAGAGGAGCGTTAGCAGAGCCCGCCAGGGCAGCAGGCAGGGCGACTGGCACAGCAGGCGAGGGGCAGACGGGGGGAAAGAGGCGGAAGGTGGGGGGTGGAGGGCGCGTGTGCATGTCAGCGGAAGCAGCAGCGGCACTGGAGGAGTACCGGGAGAAGGCAGCACAGCGGCAGAGGCGAGGCACTGCCATGGACGCCCAGAGCGTGGCTGCCAGGCGGAGGAGGGCCAACATCAGCAGCAGAATGGGCGTGCTCAAGGTGAGCGGTCAATGAGTGCTACAGTATCCATTGCATGCTGTGTGTGTGTGTTTGAGATGAGAGAGTGTCCCAAGTTCCCAACCAGTCACCGGTGTCCCTTCACCTCACACGCGGTACATCCCCATCCCTAACCCCTCTCTTCCATCACTCCTCTCCCTTTCCCCACAATGCGTCCCACCAGTCACTGGTACCGGGCAGTGCACGGCTGGACACGGCATCACTGCTGGAGCGAGCAGCGGCCTACATCGCCTTCCTGCACGCCCACTCCCTTGCTGCTGGCGCTGGGCACGCTGACATGCTGCAAGCACGCTTCACTGATGGGCTGGGTGGGGCGGATGAGGGTGTGGAGGGCAGTGGCAGTGATGCCTGTGCTGATGCTGCTGCTGCTGCTGCTGCTGCTGGTGGGGGTGCTGGTGCTGGGGATGGGGACAGGGGTGCCAGCGCAGATGATGTGGAGTGCATGGACATCTGATCTGATCTGCCACCTCACTGCCATCACACATGGCAAGGAAGGTATGCATCAGATGCACATGGGGGTGTGTGCAATGCCATGTGCGTACATACCGTAGCAGTAGAACCAGTTCACTAGGTGGGCAGTTCTGGCATGTGCACACAGTATCAGAACCCAAAGAGCCTCAACAGCCATCATCACCCTCTGTGGATTTGATAGTTAGCACGGGACATTGTGTCTTTATCATCCAACTCCTGTACCCATACCATTATTAATTACAATTAGCGCCTACACTCCACCCACGCCAAGCTTGGGTACACTGCTTACAAGCAGGCAGCAGACGTAGGGGCAGGCCGCAGTAGAAGAGAAACCGGCGGCAGTAGAGCCCCACCCCAGCATCATGAGCAGCCGCCCCAGCAGCACCACTGCTGCCGCCAGCACCACTGGCTTTTGAGCGAGCGCAGCACAGTGAGCACCCAACAGTCATTTCGGCAGCGAGCGCAGGGGCAGGCCCTGGTGAGAGAAGAGAAAGCGGCGGCGCCTGTGCCTGACCATGATGAGGAGCCCTCCCAGTAGCACCACCGCCACCACTGCTGCTGCCAGCACCGAAATGGCTTTTGAGCGAGCGCAGCGAGCGCCCAACAGTCACACTTTCGGCAGCGAGCGCAGGGGCAGGCCGCGGTGTGAGAAGAGAAAGCGGCGGCGGCGGTGGCCCACCATCATGAGCAGCCCTCCCAGCAGCACCACCGCCACCACCGCTGCTGCCAGCGCTGCGCTGCTGCCCATGCCCACCGCCCACATCACCTCATCGCTGCTCAACACCCCCCCTGCTGCTGCCGCCGCTGCTGCCTGCTGCCGTGAAGGCAGCACCAGAGACGGATCATCTGCCCCCTCTGCCCGCTTCCTCACTCCCTTCCCCCTGCCTCTCTTTCCTTGACATCTCCTGCCTTGCTGCCCCAGTGCCAGGGTAGCCACGTGGTGAACCAAGAGGGTTGGGGGGGTGGTGGGGCCAAGGAACGGGTTTGGAAGATGGAAGGGGCGTGGAGGGAGGGCGGGGAGGAGGGGCGGAGAAGGACGTGCAGCAGCGTGGGGCGGCCTGCCAGCACTGTGACGTTGGTGGTGTGATTGATGTGGCCCGGGTGTGATATGGTCACTGGGAAGGGGGTGGCAGGGGTAGAGGGATGGAGGGGTAGAGGGGTGAAGGGGTAGAGGGGTGAAGGGGTAGATGCTTAGAGGGGTAGAGGCAAAGAAGGTTTGAGGGGTAGGGCAGGGTAAAGTGGGAAGGGGTGGAGGGGAAGAGGGGTGGAGGGTTATCGTGTGGTAGTGGGGTGGTGAGGACGCAGTGGGGGAACGGCAGTGTTAGGGGAGTAGGAGTTGGTGACAAGGGGAGAGGCGTGCACAGATGGCAGCTCATGGGAGTGGAATGAACGATGCGAGGCAAGAGAAAGAGAGAGCGTAGGGAGGAAGCGAGACAGCGTGCACGCATGAGGAAGGCGACGTGGCTTCGTTGTATCCCATAAGTAACCTCAACCCACCACAACACAACCAAGGCACTTCACGGTACACCATGGCACTTCACGGTACACCATGGCACTTCACGGTACACCATGGCACTGCCACTCCCCCCCCTTCCTGCATGATGGTGGGCACTCCGCAATCCATGCCCGCCCCACCCATCATACCCAATGAAGCATGCACCCGCCCTCCTCTAACCCCCCATAACTGCCCATTTACCCCCCGAAACCCACCTGGGCAGGCAGCCCCCCCCCCCCCACCTGTGTAGTTGCCCGGAGGCAGCAGGCGGTAGAAGTCCCCAAAGCGCTTTGACGCCATCACCTGACGGTGGCAGCGGGGGGACGAGGGAAGTGTTAGTGGGTGGATGCATGGATGGGGGTAAGGGCATGAGCATAAGGGAATGGGAAGCAGCATGAGGAGGGGCAAGAGGCATGGCAAGTGCATGCGGAGGGGCAAGGGGAGGAGGACATAGGAATGAAGCAGATAAGGGAGGGGACAATGATTGGAGGAGCAAGGGGGGAAGAGCAGGAAGTGACAAATGAGATGATTCCTGCAGATCAGGGGACTCAGTATTTGTATGGGTGTGCTGTTGGTGCGTGTGGGGAAACCATCATGCCACCCTTCCTCCCAATGTGCCCACGCATGCACCCGATGCGTTTGCGAGCCCATGCACCAATGCAACCATGCACCCATGCACCCATGCACCCATGCACCCATGCACCCATGCACCCATGCACCCATGCACCCATGCACCCATGCACCCATGCACCCATGCACCCATGCACCCATGCACCCATGCACCCATGCACCCATGCACCCATGCACCCATGCACCCATGCACCCATGCACCCATGCACCCATGCACCCATGCACCCATGCACCCATGCACCCATGCACCCATGCACCCATGCACCCATGCACGCATGCACCCATGCACCCATGCACCCATGCACCCATGCACCCATGCACCCATGCACCCATGCACCCATGCACCCATGCACCCATGCACCCATGCACGCATGCACCCATGCACCCATGCAACCATGCAACCATGCACCCATGCAACCATGCACGAATGCACCCATGCACCCATGCACCCATGCACCCATGCACCCATGCACCCATGCACCCATGCACGCATGCACCCATGCACCCATGCACCCATGCACCCATGCACCCATGCACCCATGCACCCATGCACCCATGCACCCATGCACCCATGCACCCATGCACCCATGCACCCATGCACGCATGCACGCATGCACCCATGCACCCATTCACCCATGCACCCATTCACCCATGCACCCATGACCCATGCACCCATGCACCGATGCACCCATGCACCGATGCACGCATGCACCCATGCACCCATGCACCCATGCACCCATGCACCCATGCACCCATGCACCCATGCACCCATGCACCCATGCACCCATGCACCCATGCACCCATGCACGCATGCACCCATGCACCCATGCACCCATTCACCCATGCACCCATTCAACCATGCACCCATGCACCCATGCACCCATGCACCCATGCACCCATGCACCCATGCACCCATGCACCCATGCACCCATGCACCCATGCACCCATGCACCCATGCACCCATGCACCCATGCACCCATGCACCCATGCACCCATGCACCCATGCACCCATGCACCCATGCACCCATGCACGCATGCACCCATGCACCCATGCACCCATGCACCCATGCACCCATGCACCCATGCACCCATGCACCCATGCACCCATGCACCCATGCACCCATGCACCGATGCACGCATGCACCCATGCACCCATGCACCCATGCACCCATGCACCCATGCACCCATGCACCCATGCACCCATGCACCCATGCACCCATGCACCCATGCACCCATGCACCCATGCACCCATGCACCCATGCACCCATGCACCCATGCACCCATGCACCCATGCACCCATGCACCCATGCACCCATGCACCCATGCACCCATGCACCCATGCACGCATGCACCCATGCACCCATGCACCCATGCACCCATGCACCCATGCACCCATGCACCCATGCACCCATGCGTGGATGGAGGGGGGAGGGCAGGCAGGGGCAGAGCGGGTGACCTGGATGTCGATGCCATGCACAGCGATGGTGGCGGGCAGGGGCGCTGATGTGGCTGCAGAGAGCACCGTGCCCTGCACCCCCATCTGTGGTGTAGTGGATGGCAGCACGGTGGGCGGCAGCGGCAGTATGGTGGGAGGCGTGGGAGGGCAGGCCGGGGCAGTGGCAGACAAGGCGACCGGCATGCAGGCAGGTGCATGCATGGCATCACATGGCATGGCATCACATGGCATGGCACCACATGGCATGGCACCACATGGCGTGGCACCACATGGCGTGGCACCACATGGCGTGGCACCACATGGCATGGCGCCACATGGCATGGCATCGTGTGGCGTGGCATCACATGGCGGTGGTGTCGGATAACAATTGCATGGCATAGTGAGATGCGAAGTGGTCGTGATGATTGCTGGCTATGGTGACATTCTGGATGGCACGGCATGGCATGGCATGGCACGGCACTGCACAGCATGGCACAGCATCGCATGTCATGGCATGGCATGGCATGGCATGGCGTGGCATGGCACGGCAAGGCATGGCACGACATGGCATGGCATGGTACTGCACGCACGGCATGGCACAGGATTGCATGATATGTCATGGCACAACGCAGCGTGCGGAGGGCACCTTGGCAGTGGTGGTGAGGAGGGCGAGCAGGGCTGGCCGGTGGTCCTCCCACAGCTGAGGCAGCTGTTTGCCATGCCGGGTAGTGACACGGGGGGCAGGGCGGAGGGAGCGCACAGGGAAGCGGCACACAGGGAAGGGCATAGCTTAGACAGCATAAGAGGGGAGCAGGGGGAGGAAAAAGCAAGAGGGGAAGGCAGGGATGAAGAGAAGAGGGAAGGGCGAAGAGGATGCTTTGGAAAATAACTTCCCGGCATAGGCATGGAGCATGCACGCCCGTGCATAGGCATGGAGCATGCACGCCCGTGCATAGGCATGGAGCATGCACGGCCGTGGTGAGAATCATAAGAGAATACGCCTAAGGCAAGAGGACACACAGGCATCGGGCGTAAGGGGAGAGAGGGGGGGATACGAGGAAGAGGGAGAGCCACTTGGCGTGTTCTGACCTTACACGCGCACATCACGAGGGCGCGCGGGCAAGGGGCACACGAGGAAGGGCGAGGGCATACGAGGAAGGGCGAGGGCATACGAGGAAGGGCGAGGGCATACGAGGAAGGGCGAGGGCATACGAGGAAGGGCGAGGGCCACTTGGCAATGTGCAGCTCGAGGGTGATCTCCATGCAGCGCGCCTCCACGTAGTTCCAGTCCTGCATTCCCCCGTACAGTGGGTACCTGCGCGCATGGCCGCCGTGGCGGGGAGGCATAGGGGAGAAGTGGGGGGGGAGGCATGGGGACGGCAAGGGGAGGTGTGGGGGAGGTTATGGGGGAGGCAAAAGGGAGGCAAGGGGGAGGCAAGGGGGAGGCAAGGGGGAGGCAAGGGGGAGGCAAGGGGGAGGCAAGGGGGAGGCAAGGGGGAGGCAAGGGGGAGGCAAGGGGGTGGCATGGGGGAGGCAAGGGGGTGGCATGGGGGTGGCATGGGGGTGGCATGGGGGTGGCATGGGGGTGGCATTGGGGTGGCATTGGGGTGGCATTGGGGTGGCATGGGGGAAGGTACGGGGAGGCATGGGAGGTACGGGGGAGGCATGGGGGAGGCAATGAGACGAGAGGTGGCACCACTCAGCTGAACTTCAAACCCCCCCCCCACCCACTCTTGCATCCAACCCGCCCCCACCACCGCCACCCTTGTCACCCACCCCCCAACCTCTATCTCTCCCTCTCACCCCACCCCAACCTCTCCCTCCTTTGACCGGTACCAGGAGGCGCCGTTGGTGATGCCGCCGGGGAAGTCACGTGAGAGCGCCATGGAGGGGTGGGCAGCAGCATAGGTGGACGCCATCAGGCGGAACGTGGCATCGTCTGGCGAGGCGGCGTAGTGCGTGCTGCTCTGGTGGCACGGGGGCGAGGGGGTAAGGGGGGGGGATGGGGGGAAGGGAGGGGGGTGGGGAAGTTGGAAAGGGAGAGATGAGTTTATGAGATGAGGGTGACAGGGATGTGGTCGAGTGGGGGGAGGGAGGGGAGTGTGAGGAAAGAAGGGGGGAGGAGGAGGCAGGATAGGTGACAGCACAAGAAACGAGGAATCGGTTGCAAGTTAAGATAGATGGTGGCACAGAGAGATGCATGGCGGCACAGAGAGATGCATGGCGGCACAGAGAGATGGATGGCGGCACAGAGAGATGCATGGCGGCACAGAGAGATGCATGGCGGCACAGAGAGATGCATGGCGGCACAGAGAGATGCATGGCGGCACAGAGAGATGCATGGCGGCACAGAGAGATGCATGGCGGCACAGAGAGATGCATGGCGGCACAGAGAGATGCATGGCGGCACAGAGAGATGCATGGCGGCACAGAGAGATGCATGGCGGCACAGAGAGATGCATGGCGGCACAGAGAGATGCATGGCGGCACAGAGAGATGCATGGCGGCACAGAGAGATGCATGGCGGCACAGAGAGATGCATGGCGGCACAGAGAGATGCATGGCGGCACAGAGAGATGCATGGCGGCACAGAGAGATGCATGGCGGCACAGAGAGATGCATGGCGGCACAGAGAGATGCATGGCGGCACAGAGAGATGCATGGCGGCACAGAGAGATGCATGGCGGCACAGAGAGATGCATGGCGGCACAGAGAGATGCATGGCGGCACAGAGAGATGCATGGCGGCACAGAGAGATGCATGGCGGCACAGAGAGATGCATGGCGGCACAGAGAGATGCATGGCGGCACAGAGAGATGCATGGCGGCACAGAGAGATGCATGGCGGCACAGAGAGATGCATGGCGGCACAGAGAGATGCATGGCGGCACAGAGAGATGCATGGCGGCACAGAGAGATGCATGGCGGCACAGAGAGATGCATGGCGGCACAGAGAGATGCATGGCGGCACAGAGAGATGCATGGCGGCACAGAGAGATGCATGGCGGCACAGAGAGATGCATGGCGGCACAGAGAGATGCATGGCGGCACAGAGAGATGCATGGCGGCACAGAGAGATGGATGGCGGCACAGAGAGATGCATGGCGGCACAGAGAGATGCATGGCGGCACAGAGAGATGCATGGCGGCACAGAGAGATGCATGGCGGCACAGAGAGATGCATGGCGGCACAGAGAGATGCATGGCGGCACAGAGAGATGCATGGCGGCACAGAGAGATGCATGGCGGCACAGAGAGATGCATGGCGGCACAGAGAGATGCATGGCGGCACAGAGAGATGCATGGCGGCACAGAGAGATGCATGGCGGCACAGAGAGATGCATGGCGGCACAGAGAGATGCATGGCGGCACAGAGAGATGGATGGCGGCACATGGAGATGCATGGCGGCACATGGAGATGCATGGCGGCACAGAGAGATGCATGGCGGCACAGAGAGATGCATGGCGGCACAGAGAGATGCATGGCGGCACAGAGAGATGCATGGCGGCACAGAGAGATGGATGGCGGCACAGAGAGATGCATGGCGGCACATGGAGATGCATGGCGGCATATGGAGATGCATGGCGGCATGTGGATGGGTTGGGGTGGGCAAGGGCAGTACCCTTTATCCTGGGTGCCGTCCCAAGCATAGCTCGCCACTAGTGCTCCCTGCATGGTTGACAGAGGGGACAAAGGGGAGTTGGGAATGGGGAATGATGGAAGGAGGAATCACGAGAGACAAGAAGAGCGCACAAGTGGAACGGCGAGAGAAAGAGTAGAAGCAGCAGCAGCAGCAGTTGGATGGGCACAGTGGGTCTGTGGAATGCACGTTCTAGTGCAATGCACGTTCTAGTGCAATGCACGTTCTAGTGCAATGCACCTGAACCCCAAACTTCAGCTGTGGGGGTTGATTACAAACCAGCATGACACGGCAACTATCATCCCCTTCCCTCATCCTGAACCCGCCCCCTGCTGCACTCACCCCCTGCAGCCTTGCCCTCTCGCCCCTCACCCCTCAACCCTCACCCTTCACCCCTAACCTCATCCCCCTCCCCCAACCCCCTCCCCTTCCCCCAACCCCCTCCCCCCTTTCGCCCCCCCCCCCCCCTCCCCCCCCCTTCCCCCTCACCCCGTGCAGGCTAGCAGAGGCACTGAAGTGGTGGCGCTGCGTCCAGCGCATGACGGCGCGCACCTCCGCCTGCCGCCCCGCCTCCTCCGCATTCATCTCCGCAAACCACTGCTAGGGGGGGCGCCCGGGGGGAAGAGAAGCGGGGTTCAGGGGGGGGAGGGGGGGAAGAGGTGAGGGGCATAGAGAGGGGGGAGAAGTGTGGGGGAAAGAGAGAAGGGGGGAAGGCAAGGCAGTGCAGCTATTAAGAATGCAGGTATGAGGTTATGTTACAGAGGAAGCTCTAGATCCCTGGTGTCCCTAGTGTCAAGCGTCTACATGCTGCGTCCGGATGCTGGACGCTGGACCATCAAGAAAACGGGAACAGCCCGCTGGAAACAAAATTAGCGTGACGCGAAACAACAATTTGCGCAAACAGGATAGAGAGAACAAGGCATTGGGAGGTGCAGAGGCAGCAAGGCATGGGGAGGGGCGGGTGCAACGAGGCATGGGGAGGGGCCGAGGCAGCGAGTCATGGGGAGTGGTGCACTGACGTGGTCAGGGAAGGCGCGGTTGAGGTCGACTCGGTTGGCGTTCTCCCTGGTGTGCAGCGTGAAGCCATCGGGGTTCATGGCTGGTAGTAGATGCAGCTCCACCCCCTCCACCACCTCCCTCGCCTGCCATGCCACCACAGCACAGCACACCACAGCACACCACAGCACACCACAGCACACCACAGCACAGCACAGCACACCACACCACACCACACCACACCACCACGGCACATGCCACCACCGCACCATACAGCATACCCACCACAGCACATGCCATTTCTAAACCTTAAATCCTTTCCACCACTACCATTCCACAACTCTCATGCCAGTACACGCCATGCCACCTCTGCTCCCTCCCTCCCCACACCATCATGCCACCTCCGCTCCCTCCCTCCCCACACCATCATGCCACCTCCGCTCCCTCCCCACACCATCATGCCACCTCCGCTCCCTCCCCACACCATCATGCCACCTCCGCTCCCTCCCCACACCATCATGCGACAATGCCCCACGGCACACACGAAAGTTGACACACAAGCACGGGGTCAACTTGCCCTGGCTTGCAGCCACACAACCCCCACCCCTGGCCAGGATTTGGGCACACCGGCCACACCACATACACACCGGCGCGCATACACACATCCTTGCACAGATACATACATACACCCATGCAGACAGACACACGCCCACGCACACAGATGCTCCAGAGAGTGAGCTTAAATAGTACTAGATATGAAAAAAGGCACTCGCCTTCTGTACAACGCAGGTTGGGCCGAGAAAGGAAAAGGGAATGGATGGGATGGGAACTTACCCCCAATCTACAACTACAAGGTTGCAGATTGGTTGAACAACAGAAGTTATTTCAACTGGAGGTTGGGATAAAATATACACACCTAAAATTACGAATAACCTTAAAATGTAGAATTAAGTATTCAATATCAACAGCCTTGGAAGACAAAGACAAAGACACAGACACAGACACAGACACAGACACAGACACAGACACAGACACAGACACAGACACAGACACAGACACAGACAGAGACAGAGACAGAGACAGAGACAGAGACACAGACACAGGCGCACGGATATTAGTCTTGCAAGATGCGATCACTCAGAGACATAATCCTTGCAAGCTTACAACAGGGATGGGAAGGGGTGCACACACAAGGGGGTGCACACACAAGGGGGTGCACACACAAGGGGGTGCACACACAAGGGGGTACACACACAAGGGGGTGCACTCACGAGGGGGTGCGAGGGGTAGTTGTTGCAGAGCCAGTCCGCCAGGTACAGCAGCAGCTGCCGCCCCAACGGCTCATCCCCATGCACTCCGCCTATGTACTGGCGGGTAGGGAGGGAGAGAGGGAGGGAAGGGCGGGGACAAAAGTCAGGGCCGTAACCCGTTGGCACACGAGACGAGAGCATAGACCAGGAGGGATGGCATGAGCACACACCGGGAGGGACGGCATGAGCACACACCGGGAGGGACGGCATGAGCACACACCGGGAGGGACGGCATTAGCACACACCGGGAGGGACGGCATGAGCACACACCGGGAGGGACGGCATGAGCACACACCGGGAGGGACGGCATGAGCACACACCGGGAGGGACGGCATTAGCACACACCGGGAGGGACGGCATGAGCACACACCGGGAGGGACGGCATGAGCACACACCGGGAGGGACGGCATGAGCACACACCGGGTGGGACGGCATTAGCACACACCGGGTGGGATGGCATGAGCACACACCGGGTGGGACGGCATTAGCACACACCGGGAGGGACGGCATGAGCACACACCGGGAGGGACGGCATTAGCACACACCGGGTGGGACGGCATTAGCACACACCGGGTGGGAGGGGACCAGCCCGGGACAGGGCAGTCTTCTTGGTGGGTTGGGGCGGGGGAACTGGCTCAATGGAAGACTTGCTCGACCGAAACCGAGATGTTCTTTGCACATACAAAGGCACATAACGATTGGCTGGCTGGAACAAACACAACACGGATGTCAGCTTTCATCCATATCGGTTGCGACATCTCACAATCCCGCATTTTGGTGCCAAAGCGTATGACAAGAAGAAAGGCAAGGGCACCTTGAATGTGAAGCGAGGGCGCTTTTCAGCTGGGTTCAACGTGATGAGAAGCACCCACTGGCACACACACAGCAGACACAGGGGTGATGATGGGCGGACAGGGGTGATTACGGGCGCACAGGGGTGATGATGGGCGCACAACGGTGATGGTGGGCGCACAGGGGTGATGACAGGTGCACAGGGGAGACGATGGGCGCAAAAGGGTGAAGATGGGCGCACAGGAGTGATGGCCACATACGGATGGAAGGTGGAGGCAAGAGGAATGCGCAGGGGGTGCGTGGGCGGTTGGGGAGGGGAAGCGAGATAACACGGTACAAGAACAAAACGGTGGACAGCAAGGATGGGAGAGTGCGGAGATGTCTTAACTCTAGATCGCATGCCATGCATCAACCCAATCAGTCGGCCTTCCGGCCTTCCAGCCCAAAGCTGGCTGACTTACTCTCTCCTTGATACCACCAGCACAACACGCATGCACCCACTAAGTGGGTCCCATCCCATCTAGTCCCTTCATTTCCACTCACAAACGTCACTTTCCCACCCTCCCTTCCCCCCCACTCCCCATCACTTCACTCCCACTCCCGCCTTCCATGCTCCCTACTTGCAGCTCACCAGAGGCACGCCCAGCACACTGCGGCCGATGCTGCAAGCAGGAAACGAGTTGAACCACAGGAGGATGCGACACGGGAAGAATGGATGCAGGAAAGAAAAAAAAAGCAGGAGAGGAGAATAGTGGAGAAGGGTGAAGCAGCAGCACAAACGAGTGCTCTGGGAGCGATGAGAGCAGGAAGCAAGAGAGTTGAGTGCAGGGCGGGTGGCAGCAATAAGCCGCCCACATCGTGACAGTTGACTAGTGCATCCACCTAGAGGCGTGCCATGTGGCTGCATCACCCCATGTGGCTGCATCACCCCATGTGGCTGCATCACCCACCTGTAGAGGCGTGCCATGTGGCTGCATCGGTCCACATAGGCCCGGAGGAACGCCTCTAGCTCACTGTTGTCTAGATACCACCGCTGCACCTCGCCACCCCCGCCCTGCTGCTGCTGCTGCTGTTGATTCTGCTGCTGTGGAATAGACGACCTGTGGGTTCCCAATCACAGCCAGAATGGCATGATGACAACACATGGATGGCATGATGACAGCACATGGATGGCATGATGACAGCACATGAATGGCACATTCCACCCACCATTCCATGTGTTCAAATGGGAAGGCAGTGTGTTTGGATGGGATGCAGTGTGTTTGGATAAGATGCAGTGCGCTGGGATGTGATGGGTTACGAGGAATATGGAAAGACGAGAGAAGTCGAGTTGGGGCCAAAACAGATAGAAGCAGCGAAGCAGATAGGGAGGGACGAATCGATAATATGGAGAGAGGAGGAGGAGGGGAGGAGCGAGGGGAGGATGGGGGAGTGAAGTGCTAGAGAGGGCGGAGGGAGGGATAGAGGGAGGGAAAAGTCTGCAGGTGTGGAGAGAGGCAGGGGGGGAGAGAGAAGAGTCGGACGACAATGAATTGAATGGAGCAGTGACGTGTGGAGGCGACGTGGAGATAAAGCACCCACCATGGGAGAGGGGTGGTGGTGCCTGCTCCGTTGTATGGCGCCTGCTGCATCCCTGCAGGGATGGGCCGTCCATGGGGCAAAAGGGGGCAGACAAAGACGGAAATACTGACTTGGTGAGGCAGGGCTGACGGGTGAGGCAGGGCTGACGGGTGAGGCAGGGCTGACGGGTGAGGCAGCGCTGACGGACGGAGGACGGCGACGTGGCTATGGGTCGAGCCGACTGACGGCCGCCAATTATCCCCTCGCCTTGCAGTGAGTCCCCGCGCTACCCCTCGCTACCTCTCGCTACCTCACCCGCTTTACCTGTCCCTGCAGCGCCGTGCTGCTCAGCATGCACGCATTCCCAGCGACCCCGCGCCGCCAGCAGCAGCAGCAGCACGCCCAACAACAGACGCAGCGCGCGATGAAATCGACTCCCGTGCGCCACGCTCGCGGAGGGTACTTGCAGCGGCGGGGGAATCAACCCCATGATCGCGCTATCCGCGCACGATGAACGTGCGGCTGCTGGTCGCGGGGAAATCAAGCGCGCGCGCGCCTGAGAGGCGTTGCTTGCGCACTTGGCATTGCGCAGCCCTGCACGACCGCTGGTGCACCCACGGACTCGCAGCTCCGCCGCGTGTGGCCCTCCACGGCGACAGTGCGACCGCGACAGCTGGAGTGCGGCGGCGCGATGGCTATTCGGCCATAAGGAACAGCAGACGTGGCAAGCGCGATGGCTATGGGATGAGTGCGAGGAGCTGCGATAGACGATTCGACGTGACAAGCAGGCTTACCGCTCCTATGATTGGAAGACCTAACCTAAACTCAGCAGCTGCTTGGAACCCGTTATTGCCTTCTAGCCGACTAAAAGCAGTGACTTTCGTGAGGCCAGAGCCAGGCGTGTTTGTCGTCGATTGATGAGACAGATAAGCGAGGCGATGGTCTAGAATACAACAATGGCTGCTGCGGCTCGTGGCACAACAATCCCAAGGGCGAAATGACACAAATCGTCGAAAATAGTACTTGCTTTCAAACAGTCGACCCAAATCATTGCGCGCTCGCCGCGGCGGGTCCTGCCTGAATTCGATGGACCGCATTTCCGCGGGCCTTGTTTGGTCGCTTTTCCAGCCCTCCTCAAGATTTCGGGCAGCCATGTGGACTTGGGGGGCGTTTCTAGCTCGTGTCAAGCTTCGGGCCTTCATAGGAAGACCCGAAGCTTTCGGTTAAACTTCCTGTCAAACTTCATATCTTCCGGAAACACGCGCATTTTTTTGGCCGTAAGACCCGAAGTTGGTCCCCGATGACCCAAAGTGGGTCCAACTTCCGGTCATCTTGACACGAGCCAGGAACGCACCCTCGGACTGAAATCACACACACACAATCACTTATGATCAAGAAAGGGGAAGCAAGGCCATTTGGTCTTAATGCCCTGAACATTCCGGGTTACTCTCAGGGCAGGTAGCAATTTTAAAGTTTTAGGTTTGCAAGTCACCCTGACGTGTCAAGGCTTTCAATCGGGCCTGGCCCGAACTTGTTACGTGCGTATTAGGGGCCTTCCCCTGAATTCAAGTACTGGTTCAGGGTTCGAAGGACCCCCCCCACCTTTTCCCCTTTACCTTTGCAGCATTTTAGGTAGGGTAGATAGCATGTAGTACGTAATGTAGTGTAGGATAGGAAGGGATTAATGTTAATGTCAATAAGCATAGCACTTAGTTACAGTAACATTAAGATAGGATGGATGTATTGTTGTTGAACAAAAGTGCCTTCTTGTTTAGAGCCCTAATTATAAGTTTTGCCTTGAGCTGGCGCCTGTGACTGTAAAAGGCGGAAAAAAGCTCAGGGTCCTTAAAAAACGGGCGAGAATCTGATGAGGTCAAAGGGCAAAGTTCTGGCCCCAGAAGCTTCGACAGGCATGCTTACGACGTGTTGCAATTGTCGGTGCACAGGATCAGCTCGGGACAATTGGAAAGCTCCAAGCTGGCGGGAGACCAAACCCGCGCACTGATTCGGCATAGAAAAATTTCAAGATAATGAATTAAAGAGTTATTCGTCAAGATTATATTAGGGCACAAAATGTTTTTTCACGTTTCCTGTAGTTGTATTTCCACTTTATGATTTCCTGGAGCCTTCCGCAGCCCGTGCCACGAGCCGAGCCGATGCAGTGCACCACGAAGTGCAACACGCCGTGAGCGTTACATGTCCTGCCAAAAGTCTCTTGTTTTTTTAGGCATGCCACATCAGCATTGGCGATAATTTGTTGAAAATCAGCGCGTCCTTATTCTAAATGAAGGGTGATAATACCGTCATATTTACTATTACGCCATTACTTTTTCATTGAACACGTAAATCACTCTTGAAGTACCCAAACTTTCACACGCACGTTACACCTAACCCACGCCAATTTAAAAAAAATTGGCCCTAGGGCGAGTCCTTATCGTTTTGCCTTGGGGTTGAAATTGGGGAGAGAAAAAAAAAATCCGTCCAATTTCAACACTCGCACGAAAAATGCTTCGTTACTAAGCGTAGGGACTCGGTTCTACTGGTGCAGCCACAGCTTCCTCGCTGGCCTGTCACGCACGATCTCCAAGCCGAGGTACTTCACCACCGGCGAGATCTCGCGCAGCTCGAAGGCGGCCTCCAGCAGCTCCTTCAGCTCCGTCAGCATCGTGGTGTTGCTGTTGGCGGCGAGCAGGTCGTCGGCGTAGACCCGCACCCAGCAGGTCACACCGTCGTCGCACCTTGAAGAGTGCCTCGCCAACCTGTCTCTTCTTCCAGTCGGCGTTAGTCAGCACGTCAACACAGCAGCGGCGACTGCTTCAGCCCGTACAAGCTCTTCAGCAGCTTGCACACCCGGTCGGTCCCGACGTTGTAGTAGCCCGGCTGGTACATGTACAACACACGGTCGAGCTTGCTCTGCAGGAAGGCGTTCTTCATGTCGAGCTGCATCAGGTTCAGGTCGAGGACGGCGACGATGCTGAGGAAGATCCTCAGCGTGACGTAGCTGCCAATCGGCGCATATGTCTCGTCGTAGGAAAGACACCGTACACCAACCTCGCCTTCTCGCGCTCGACCGTGTCGTCAATGTGGTACTTCGTTATTAGCACCCACTGGTTCTTCATAATGCTGATGCCGCGCGGCCACTCAACCAGCTCCCATTTGCCATTGGCGATAAGGCTGCGAATCTCCTCGTCCATTGCAGCATTTACCGCCTTGCCCTTCCAGCTTGCCAACGCCTCCTTCACCGTCATCGTTGCGATGTCCCAGCGGTGCTCGGGGTCGGCGTGCATGTCGGGGTCGAGCTCGGGCAAGTTGACGTCGGCCTCAGCATCGTCGTGCAGTGTGGTGAAGGCGGCCAGCGGCAGGCACACGTGGTAGGTCAGCCACTCAGGCGGCCTCCGCAGGCGGCCTCCGCAGGCGGCCCAAACGCTGTGGTTCAGGCGGGACATCCACCACGTCGCTGTCGGTGGAATCCTTGCCCGCCGACCGCTCCCCTTCATCGTCGTCAGCTTCGCTGTCCTCCCCAGCCTGTTGCACCAAAGTCAGCTGCTTAGCCGACTTCTCCCCTGTCGTCGGCTCCCCTGCCGACTGTCATGTCGTCGACGGCTCCCCCGTCAGCTTCACTGCCCGCTGCTCTCCTGTCGGCGGCTTCCCTCCCGACTCCCCCTCCAGCGACTTCACCACAGTCGGCAGCATCTCCTCCGCCTGCCCCTCCCATGTCGTCGTCGGCTTTTCTCCCACGTCAACCTGCTTGACGTCTCGTCGGCCACCGGCGATGTCATTAGCCGGCGCCACATGCGACGCCTCATTACTTCCCTCATCTGTCAGAATATTATGCTCTAGCCTGCAGTGGGGTGCTCTATAGCGAGTACAACCCTTCTAGGGTTAGCTATTTGTACCACCATTGTTGCTAGTGCAAACCCTCCTTTGCTCATTTCTCTCTTGCCTAGCTAGGGTTTACCTAGCTATGGCTCCTACTTGTGCCTACTATTTTGACATGCTATCAGAGCAGGTCGACCCTCCTGGGTCGATCCTGTGGGTGGGCCCGCCACCTAATGCTTCCGCTGCTGTCCTGCTTATCGCGCGCCTCGGGCGCGCGACGTTTTCTGCCTACTGCGCGCTCGCAAGGCGCGGCGTTTTTAGGGTTTCGGCGGTTTTCATCCCGCCGTGCGCTCGGGGCGCGCGGCGGTTTTCTGCCCGCCATGCGCCCCGTGGCGCACGGCGGTTTCCCACCGTCGAAGTGCCCCCCGTCGCCCGTCGAAGCGCCCTCCCCCCGTCGCCCGTCGAAGCGCCCCCGTCGCCCGTCGGAGCGCCCCCCGTCGCCCGCCAAAACGCCCCCGTCGCCCGTACGGGCTGCGCCAGGCCCGCGCGCGGCCCGTACAGCCCGCGCGCGGCCCGTACGGGCTGCGCCAGGCCCGCGCGCGGCCCGTACGGGCTGCGCCAGGCCAGCGCGCGGCGCGGGCAGCCTGCGCGCGCCTCGTCCGTCCCCCTCTCGCCGTCCCCCGCGCTCCTGCCCCTATCCCACCCGTTTTAGGGTTTGGGG